CTTTTTCCTCCTTTAGCATCTTTCTATCTATCTACCACTCAATAATTAAAGGTCAGTTTTTGTCCACAGTCAATCCATGCACAAGCGTCCATTATTCTCTTGCTGATTTTAAAACAGTAATTGCCCATGCTGCCCCTGGGGTTGGCAGGAGTGCTTTACAAACATCTGAAAAGGTACTTTATTCTCTTGTAAATCATCCCTCGTAGATATTTTTTGCTGTCTATATTACTTAGGCATGGTACCCAATATTGTCACACTGCCTATCGCATTTGTTTACCTTCTCTTGTTATCTCCTTTGTTTAGATTGCAAATCCTCTGGGAAAAATGCATCTTTTTCTTCTGTGACTACAACATCTAACACAAAAGATACTGATCCATGACAAGTGCAGCTAAACATTACAGTAATAAAAATAATTTATCTTCCATTTTTTAAAAAAGGTGACTAGCAGAACTACATGCTACCTGTCTGTTTCTCTACAAATCTTTGTCAGAAGTCCCTCTTGCTTCCATCACTGCAAACGAAGCTAGCTACACTAGGACATATGAACCACAATATGCCCAGCAACTCTATATGCCTGCCTGCTTGCCTGACACACCATACTATTTGCTTATTCTCATTTCCACAAAGCCTCTACCCCTCCCCATGTTTACTGGAGACCTTCTGTAGCCTTTGTCTAGATGACAGACAACATGTGCTGTTACTAGTCCATAGAGGTACAAATACCAACTGGCTAGCCAGCGAGTTAAGAGTGACCTCCTTCCTTTACTTTTTCTCACTGGAAGTATCATAAAATGGTCATTTTGGTCTATCTAGCCACCATTTTCACAAAACTTACAGAAACGTAATAACTTGGAGCCATCCCCATATAACATAGTTTGCACATACTGGTCAACTTCAAAGTTGTCCAGCGAAAAAGGCAGCACAACTGCCAAAAAAACCCACACAGCAACAACAGGAACAACAGTAACTGAAAACTCATCTTCTTATCTTTATGCTTTAAAAACAGTCACAATGCAAAATCATAGCTTTGGTAAGATAAAAAATACATGCTTTTATAACAGCATATACGCCAAAAATTGGCAAATCACTTGCAGAAATTGGGTCTCAAATAAACTCCAGAAGATCTACCAATCATTTTCGCTCTCTAAGGAGAAATTAGTATCTTTTCATAATGTCATTGATAATATTATAAATTCCTAAGATTGAGAGAAATCACTTACTCATCTCCATCTGGGCAGATTCCTGTAGTCTCATCATATTTTGTACAATAAACATCTGGACTGTAGTTAAAAGTCCCATCACGCCTTCGTATAGGTCTACGACGACGCTGATTTAGGAAATGCCAATGAAAACAGGTAAATGGTCTGTGCTGGGTACACTTGTGCTGCAAAAATAGGGGGCACTGCTCTGTCCTAAATTCCTTTAGATACCTAAAAAAATTAAACTGTGTTACAAGTTTATCTTATTGGAGGCACGTTTTTTACAGTATTAACAGGGCACTTGACAATTCAGTGTGCATAGCCCATGAAAAATTGTACAAAAGTACCTGCATACAATTTGAGTTCCTATCCACAATTTACTGCTTAGCTGCCGAATACAACTGACTTCATTTTTAATGACAGATGCATTACTAATAAAACACAGTAAAATACTTGGACAAATTATATTACTATGTCATATAACTGAACTAAATTCAAATCAATTAAAAAAATACCTACAGTATTTAGAATTCTTCCCTGAGTAAGCACTAAATAGACTATAAATACAAGTTACTTGAATGAGCATTCATATTGCTTGCTACCATACAAAACAGTCCTACAAAGGCTATTTTTAGCTAAGTACCACATCTGATTTAAAAATTAGTCCTTAATCATAATATTCCCAAAGCGTGGACACAGAGTTAAAAGATGTTCAAGAAGGTTTCAGATGCTACAAGAAGATTTCAGCAAACTTATTTTAGGGATTGTTGTGCTTCTTTTGAGACAGTTTAGGGTCTTTGAAGGTTACTCAGATGTTAGAAAAGCGTTCATTCATTGGGACCTACAGCATAGGAGCTACTCAGGAACTCTGATACTTCTTTGCATAGCATACCAAGATGACGTTAGACTGGGCACCACTGTGGCATTTATCAAAGGACGTAAGACAGCACTTCTTCCTGTTCCAGTTTATGCATCTATTAGCCTATTTAACAAGTTCATTACATCACTGAAGTTATGAATTTTGGGGGGGATAGATGACCAGACAGGTTAGGGCAGGGAGGGCTTTACAGAAGAACCTTAGACTTCTCAGAGCTCTTCAAAAGGGATGAAACGTCTAGCAGTTTACAGGGGATTGACCAGGTAGGAGAAGAGAAGAATGAGAGAGAGGAATATTGGGGCATCTTTTAATTCTGAATTGCTTAACTATGTGTGATTACATCCCCTATATGCCAATTTATGGAGCATATCCTGAGGTTTAGAGAAAAATCTTTAAAACTATATAGGATTGCAAGGAAAAAAACTGGGAATAGAATTTTGGATGTTAAGGACTGTAGCAAGGACTGTAGCAGTATCTAGGTAAGTGGCTAGATTCATATGCTCTTTCCGAGACTGCTGGAAATGGGATATTACAGAAGTGGTGATATGGGGGGATGGGAGGGACAGAATGCCAAAGTTTAGAGATAAAATTATCCTGCGTTTGTGGGCAGCATCTGGGCCTACAAGAACAGGGGCGTCAACAGTGCTGAGGGCTGCATGCATGTTATAGACCACACCTGAGAAAAAGTGGATAGACTTGCAAGGAGGACAGGGAGCACATGGGATCTGCCTCTTGGTGTGCAAAGGCCTGCAGGAAGCATCACAGAAGCGTCCCAAAGGCCCGAGCAGAGACTGGCTAGGCAACACTGGAGAAGTACGACTGCTGCTGGCGCGTCACGAGGACGCGTATGCGGGGAGCTCGGGGGACGCGGGAGGATGTCGGCGAGTCACAGGGCAGCCCAGGCAGACAGGGCAGCGGGGGCGGCCAGGAGGCGTGGAGAGTCGGCGCTGGCGCTCTGCAGCCTGCCGTGCCTGGGCCGCCGCTGCCCGACCGGCCCATCCTCTCCGCGGCAACCGGAACCGGGAAGGGAGAGCGG